TGAATAAAAAATAAAAGAGGTAATTGCGACTTTTTATCTCACAATTCTGACTTTTTTTCACAGAATTGTGAGATAAAAACTCACAATTCTGACTTTTTTTCTCGCAATTCGGACTTTTTTTCTCGCAATTCTGAATTTTTTTCTCAGAATTGTGAGATATAAACTCGCAATTGCAAGTTAAAGTCCAATTTTGAGGGTGGGGGGGGGTAAAAGATCATCGACTGATATGTTCTCAGAATTGCGAGTTTATATCTCACAATTCTGAGAAAAAAAGTCAGAATTGCGAGAAAAAAAGTCAGAATTGTGAGTTTATATCACGCAATTCTGACTTTATTTCTCAAAGAATTGCGAGTTTATATCTCACAATTATGACTTTTTAACTCGCAATTGCGAGTTTATATCACACAATTCTGAGAAAAAAAGTCAGAATTGTGAGATAAAAAGTCGCAATTATCTCTTTTATTTTTCATTCAGTGGCGGAAACGGGCTTCCATAGGGTATCGTCCTGAGAACCATAACAAAAAAAAAATAATAATTTTGTGATTTTTTTTTAAATGTCATTACATGTTGGAGGTTACAGGTTGGAGCACAAGAAACAAATGGAGAAAAAAAAACATTTTTGAAAAAATATATTTGATTAATATCTTATTCTATGTCCTTTGCAGAGGACGCCAGGACTAAGTTATTCAAAATAAATAAATAAACAGACATGAAAAGGCATGTATAGGCAAAAACAATGTTTGTTGTTTGTTTTTTTCATTCACCAATCAGTTTTAGGTTTCAGGCTATTTTTAACCAAACTGTACAAAGATGATTCTCAACTATGTTATGAAAGATATGATATGAACAGAATGATTTGATATACTATTTTACTTCATGCAATATGTGCGTAAAATGTCCATAAATTAGTATTCCCATTCTATACCATGTATCTATACATTGCATCTAATTTGCATATTAATGTATTCTTGGGGCAAACTATTATGAAAAAAATGAAGTGTAATAATGGGAGTAATAAATTGGCAACATTTTCATAAGAATAACTCAAATTTCATAGGGATGCTCATCTATAATTTCTTTCCCTATTGACTTGTTGTGTTTCCTCAAAATGCCTGATTAACATGATGTTTGTCCTGGTGTCCTCTACAGAAGACATGTATGAAAATTATGCCCTGTTTCATATTCCGTTTTTTTTTTTCTGAGATGTTTTTTTTTTTTTTTTAACGACAAACAATTTGAAAATCAGTCAGGTTTAAATGATAATGACAAAATATTAGCATATTTCCCTAAGAGTGCTAAATTTGATAAGTCATTTTTAAAGTCCAAAGGAGAAGGTGTTTATGATCACACCTCCAAACATGTGAGATATCCCTAAAAAGCCCTGAATGTGCTCTGTACAGGACATCCGGACGTACAACTGTGGCATGTAGCGTCTCAGAGAGATGCATTCAAATACAGTGTCCTCT